GAATTTCACATTATTAATAAATTTTATATTAATCAAAACGTCTTTTATTCGACAATATATTTTATACAAGTGTCCATGTCGACAAAGAAAGATCATTGTAGATTTGGGTTATTTCTGAATACTCTTTCTTATTTTATTTTTATTTATCTATATATAAGGTAAGTCGACATGGACACTTGTATAAAATATATTGTCGAATAAAAGACGTTTTGATTAATATAAAATTTATTAATAATGTGAAATTCTACTAGTTCATCCACAATACGTGCTTGTTCAAATTCAAAAGATAATACAGACGAATTAAAGCAATCTGTTATGAAAATTATTTTTTATTGATGTTCAAGCAAAACAACCAAATTTATGGTATGGTAAATGTTCAATATGTTCTCAAGATGTTGCTGATAAAATCTGACTTTGTACGACATATGAAGAGAAAACATGAATTTTTATATGAAGAATGATAAGCTTGGAAACATGTTAACAATGATAATAAACAACAAAATATTGATGATATGATCAAACAAAAAACAAGTAAATATTCATCAACTGATCCAACGCAAATTAAATTAACTGAATCCATAATAAAAGATTTAATAATTGATGTTGGTGTATATTTATCATTGGTAGAACAAAATGGTTTCAAGATCCCAGGTCAAAAAGTAACATTAAAATCTTACAAGATGTCACAACAGCTTACAGACAATACGTTTTCATAAGATTCTTCGTCTAGGATCTCATAAGATCGTGAAGTAAGAATCTTGTAAGGTTCCTGGTATAAGATAGAAGCGAAAATCTTATAAGATTCTTGCACTAAGAATCTTACAAAACCATACGATACAAATCTTACAAGACTTTGTAAGATCTTGTAAGATGGTATTGTAAGATTTTTCTTAAAAATTTGAAATACAAAATATTTCATGTTAAAATTTTCTCCATCTTAAATTGTATTTTAATGAGCACAAATGAGTTTTTAAACATTAAAATACGTTGAAGTTCAGTTGATATGTGTTTTACACCAATTTTTGACTGCAAAGAATATGTCCCGCTAGTAAAAACGTGATTGGTCAATTGGTTCGACTATTATTTAGAGTTGTTTTAGGTAAAAAGAAAAATAATCAAAATCCAAAAAGAGTTAAAGGGAGTGAAGAAAGGAGTATATAATACTCGATTTTCGTATCTTCATATCTGTCGGTTTTGTCTCCATGCCGTTCAGCGGGATAGGAACAGGGTAGTTGAAACTGATTCGAACTAATGAGAAATGTAGTCCAACTGATTAAAAGCTTTTCCGGTGATGTTTTGCTGATAGGTTTTCATTTTTTCATGCCGGTTTACTACCAGTTTGCGCTCTCAAAACGAAAAAAAATGTTTTTGGTTATCAAGCGTGTTTTCGTGTACGGATATGTTAGTAAAATTGTTTACCATTACTGCTAGAATGTGTTTTACGTGGTAGAACGGATTAGTTAGACGGTCTGAGTACCCAGGCCAAGCAGAATGGTCCGTTAACGTCGTGTAAGCGGCACATTAATGATCATATGAAAACGGTGTAAACCACGCCGTTTATGGTCACCGGTGATTTAAGACATGAAAATAGCCCCAAAAGCTATGTTATGAAAACGGCACTTAAACGGTCACCGTATTGATCACAAGTTAGACAATGTTTATTATTTATTCGTCCAAGTCTTGCTACAGGTCGGGATATGTTTTCTCACGTTTTTATGAACGTAAATGACATTATTATTAGTATTGGGGCATTAGTATTGGTGCATGCCTAAGCATACTGACGCCATAGTACTCCATCGAATATATTTTGGGTATTAATACAGTATTTATTTCATATGTAAAACTTTTCTTCTCTACAACATAATCGAAAACTTGTTCTATAGAATCTATCTTATCTGTTCGTAATTATTCTGTAATGAATCATCATCAATACTTTTTATGACACCTACTTTTATTTTTCTTTCAGGTTCTGTTTCAAAATGGTTGTGCAATTCTGATGTTTGCTCTTTTCTTCGTCTAACAGAGTGGAAAAAATACGTGTGATGTATGATTTTTTGCTTATCGTCAGTTTACCAAGACGTGCATTTTATTCTTCCCGCGAAAAAAGTTAGTAAGCCTTTCATTCAATAATCCACAATTTCTTAAACAGACTCACATTCGGTGTAATTAGTAATATCTGTTCCGATAATTTCTATTTTTTGTATTGTCGATTAATTCGTACAAAACAAGAATGTATAAAACAGTGAAAATAAACGATATTGAACCAGAACAAGAAAATTCCGGGTGTTTTAATAATCAGCCATTATCAATGGATGATAGTTATTGGATCAACAAGATTCATGCTTATCATTTGAAAGAGTCACGTGATAAATATCGAGTGCAATATCAAATATCTAATTCGAACTTTAACAATTATTCAGGAAATGCTATACTTTACTCGTTTATGTCGGCTTATAATAATCATGAAGACATAGTGCTCTCACCTGATGATTTATGGTTAATGATTTCGATTTATTTTTCAAAATATGTCAACGATAATGCCGAGCAATTGCGTCATTTATTTGTTGATCATAAAGGAAAGAAAAAGTTAGTAGTTACAGAACCGGTAGGTAAACGAGAAGAAGACTGGACCGACTTTTTTGGTATGATGAAAGTAGAAATATCAAAAAATGTAAAAAATGCCGATATTATTGATCACTTAGTATCAAAGTTTTCAACAACTACACAAATTGAATCAATTTTGTCTTATGCCTGTATAATGGATACGTTTAAAGTTTACTTTTCTTATGGACGACGTATTCCAGCTTGCGGAATAAGAGCTGTACATTTTCAGGGTATGTATGTGAAATGATAACATTTAATGTTGAATCTAATTCTTTAAATGCATGTTATTTTGTCGTTGTTAAAAAGGTACATTGGATGATTGGCATTTATTGAAACATAAGACCGAACAATTGAAAATGTATACCAAAACTGGTGATGATTATTGCCAATATTTAGATAATGTATTGCCAATATTAGATGAATTTATTAAAACGTATGAGGGACACGTAAATTCTAGCTTTTGGGATCGTGTAATGAATCTAAATGATGGCCGACTAGGTTCGGTAGTACAACATACATTAGTGGATGGATATTAAAATTATTTTATGGTATTGATATCAATTCCAATAAAATTGGGTTTGGTGATATTACGTTAAATAATATAAAAGTACCGGTTGAAGTTGAAAATCACGATACCAGGCAAAAGAAAACATGCTACATCGTTGGTGGATTTCATGGTGTTCATAGCGAAGACCATAAACATAAACCTGTTATGAGTTTGGCCGTGATTGAAGATTTATCAACGGTAACGAGTCTTGACGGTGCTTAAAAATGACAATGATTCAACACAAAAGAACTGTTTGTTTTAATTACCAGTGATGACTTTCTCATTCTTTTCAATTTTTTTGAAACTAATTTCAGTTGAAAGAATAGATCAAAATGTACTAAGATCAGTTTACAGAAATCTATTTGTTTGAAATTCGGTACGCAGAAAAATTTAGATTTAGTAAAAAATTTAGTTAGATGTAGTAGTGTGAAAGATTAAATTGTAGAATGTGCAAGTGAAGTAAATGTTTTCTTTCGACAAGCTGCCAAATTTGACTGAATGACTTCAAAAAATTGAAATTTATTGTGTTGAAAAAGTTGTGGCGATATTGATCACACTTGTCAACTGTTTCATCAGAAAAATATTAAGAAAATTTTTAGATCAGCAGATATTCATCAAGGACTTTTGTGATAAAAGTACAACGGACGGTTTCTGCAAGAAAATGGCTCTATATATTTTTGAGAAGATAACGATTTGAACTGATCAGAAACTGTTCGTTATTTAGTTTTTCTGCGCCTTAAAAATTGATTGTAGACTACCATATACTGAAATTTTTAATCATTTCTGAGCAACTGTCCAAAAAGTCTGTTCGATCGTATTTATTCATTTTTGTCTGCGAGTCTGATGTTCTTAATACAATCTTATACACGAAAACATACGTAATTAAACGGGCTTTAAAATGATACGTAACACACCTTTTCAAACTAATGACTTCATAGATGTATTGGACAAATACTTGATAGGTATCTCGATTTTGCCCGTAGTGGCAGACAAAAATGATTATAGTTGCTTCCACAGATAGAGATTAGGCAGATGTAGAATTGAAAGCGCTACAAAATGAGCTGTAACACATTGTTTCAAATCCTAAGTTTGTGAGACTTATGGGTAAGATGGTGAACGGATGGAGTGATTTTGACCTAGTGTAGAATAGTTAGTGAAGTATAGTGGTGTAAACAAAATCAGAGCCAGAATGATTATTATATAAAAAGTGCCGAATTTAACGAGCTTGTAACTGAAATTTAAAAAGTATGCCTTAAGGCATTTATATGTTAAATACTATACGAATATCATGACTTTTTGATAATATTACAAACAAAATGTGGCAAACCTATTCGTTAATAAAACCGTGGTATTTTATGCATATAAACACGTGGACGTACACAACTGGAATAGAACGATAAATCCTGCAATTTTGCACTTTTTATATAATAACCATTCTGGCTCTGATTTTGTTTACACCACTATACTTCACTAACTATTCTACACTAGGTCAAAATCACTCCATCCGTTCACCATCTTACCCATAAGTCTCACAAACTTAGGATTTGAAACAATGTGTTACAGCTCATTTTGTAGCGCTTTCAATTCTACATTTGCCTAATCTCTATCTGTGGAAGAAACTTTTTGTGCTATATATCATTTTAAAGCCCGTTTAATTAGTTAAAAAGCCGTTTCGCCAAAAGACGGTTCGCCATGGTGAAATGTTATATGACGTTTCGTCAAGAATTTGTACAGTTTCACCAACTGGCAAAAAGTCATCTGACAATTCGCCAATAAATGATTGTAAAACCGTAAATTTTTATCAGTCTCTAAGTTAACTTAGGAATCTCACTCATTCTTAATTCCTAACTCGACTTCATACATGTAGAAGTCAAAAGTCTAATTAGACTTTTAAAAAGTCTAAAAAGTCTAAATTATCTGCAATTAACTCCAATGTACATTCACATCCATAAATAGTTGTTAAATATATAGCGTTTTCATTTGGATTCAGAAATTATATTGCATTGTCAGAAGATCGCACTTTAAGTTGTATTTTTGATTTAAATTCATTTATATCAAATTCATATTGTTCAGAACGAGGATCAATGTAATCATAGACAAATAATAAATGTAATAAAAGTGTTTCTGGTGACTTTATTTGCCAGCGACTAGATGACGATAGTACGGTTAGAATATGTGAATGATATATATCAGGTACATTTAGTTCTTTTACACTTATAAGTACACAACAAAAGGTAAAGATTAGCGAGTTTTTAGATTCAGGAGCCTCAATTCTGAAGAATTTTCGTTGAAGAACTGAAGTAAACTAACAAGGAAAATGAGTACAAATTTTCAATCTGTTTTGGTTTTTTTAAATATTTTTATAAGTATCTATGCTAAAGTGTTAATTCGATTTATTTCCTACTTTGAAAATTAGAAATGATTTTAGAGCTTTTACGGAATCATGAACGATTTTATAACCCAAGCAAACATCACCTATGGGAAAAATCGACATAGCAACATTACCGCGAGACATTTTTCCTATGGTCTACGTTAGTATCCGCTCATAGGCTGTATCGACTTAGACCATACGAATTTTTCGCTCAGCTATACTAGGGATTGAAAAATTTTCGTATGGTCTATGTCGACATACACCATAGGTGGCAAATTTTTTATAATACACATTGGGTATTGATAACTAAACTGCTTTTCGAACTCACTCTCACACTATCTTCACTCCCTCACATCCTACCACACAGAAATATCCATTGTGTACTATGAAAAATTTGCCACCTATGATTTATGTGACGTAGACGTAGACCATAGGAAAAATTTTCGGTCCCTGCTATAGCTGGGGGAAAAATTCCTATGGTCTACGTCAACATAATGGCGGTTCGCGGTAATGTCGTGGCACGGAAAAATCTAGATACATTTCGTCTGTAATTGGGCGATACACGACTAGTTGCCATCTAGATTACTAGTTGGAACAGGAGCTTTTAACTAGATGCGTCTGCGCGTGTAACTAGCAATAGTTAAATCGATCGATTATCGGGCAATAAATCGATAGGTGCAACTAGAAGAAATCTATCAGTCGCCCGATTACTAGATTTTCACTGTCGTTACTCAATAGTTGCAATCGAGTAAAAATCTAGTAATCTAGATGAATCGGGCGATACTAGATTTCTTTCTGACGCTTGGAAAGAATATTGAAAATGCTTATTTTCTACTTGTTAAAAATCGAGTCAATTTTCAAGAATTTTGATTTTCAAAATAGTTCGAATATTCGTCTGG